ATGGCTGATAGCACTGGCCGAAAAGTTCCAACATAAGAGTGGTATGGGTTAACCCAGTGTCGACTTTTGGGACCCAATGAAGTTTTAACACCATATCATGCTGCGTACACTGCCAGAGGCGGAAATCTGCGTGAAGCTAACAGTAAGACTGCCAAGGGCAGCGTGTCAATTTAGATTCTTATAGGGGCGCTGTAACACTTTTTGAGCATGATCAGAAAACACTGCTAATCGGTAGTAGAGGCTCCCGGCAACACGCATGGCAAATATTGTAGTGCAGCACAAGGCCTGGAATTCACAATAAATTATCAGTCGGCTAAAAATTGCTTTCTCTTAATTCTCTTGACAAATCATAGAATATGCCCAAAAATCACACGTAGTAAGCCCATCTATCAGCCATTGGCTGATATGAACATGGTGCGCTCACTCGTTACAGAGATCGCCGCAGAAGGCCGCTACTTGTCCACGCGTGTGCGCGCGATCACACTTAAAATGTTGTGCATTCGAAGAAAAAAAAAAAGAAAAAAATTGGACCCGTATCTGCATTTAATTTGCAAATGTCGTCGAAAGACGATAGTCTTGCGTGTGGAGAAACTGAACAAAACATTTATTTGATGTTCTGCTCAAGAAAATCGGTGAATAGTATTCTGGAGGCGCTGCGTTAGAGTGCCTTGAGCGTGCAGCGGAGGTGAATGAGCACATCAAGTCACGTCACACATGAGACATGAGCGCCATCTGGCAGTTTTTTTCGAAAACAAAGCTCCTGGCTCTGAGACGGGTGTGCGCGCCCGCCTCAGAGGTGATAAGGTGTAGAACGCAAGGCAACGGGTAGGTGCCACCACCATCTCATTGACAACACTCGCTTTTCCGTGCAAGCGTTGGATGGTCAGTGCAGCGTGATAAGCGCTACGGTCCTTAAAGTTACTTATGTATGCCTTTTCTAGTAAAAGGCGCACATGCAGAGTATATATGTGTTGTTATGGTGCCCCAGACACGCGCAATAATTGCTATTTAATCGGCAATTGCATAAGTATGAATGCTAAATCTTGAGCAACATAGGTGGGAGCTGCAGGGGGTCGACCCTTTCAAATACCCGATGCTGTTAAAAATGGACAAACGGACAAATGTACAGACAGACAGACAGACCAAAATTTTTGCGTCGAAGGTCCCCAAGAAAGACTATCGTCTTTAAAAGTGTTCAAGGTGACAAGTGTTGTGTAATGCGACCCCTGGTGTCGTGGTACTACACCAGCGGGTTAGAGTTCCTGTAAATGCCCTTAAGTGGAGCTACGTTCTTACCAGGTCCGTTATCTGCTACCAACCTGGTGTGTACCTGTCATCATGTGACCAGTGTATCAGTGACCAATCACCTTCTTCCAAATCTTTAAAAAACCGCCGCAATAAACACGGGAGAGGATTCTCTCATAAGCCAAGCCTAAATTCGTCTGCGTGTCATCCCTCGCTGGTCACTCGGCCTCTCCGCTGGCTTCGCCGCGCTCCAGCCCAACACAACAACGAGGCATGCATTACATTTTTCTGTGGCTCTATCATCCCTCCCTGCTTAGCTTCCAGTGCTTACATCGGGTTGAAAGAGAATGCAATTGCAGCATGCGACAAACCTTTGTAACTCCACTTGCACTGGACGGATTCTGGAAATTGTTGTGGCGTTGAATTCGTGAGGAAATAAGCTTTTCCAGTGAAATTATTCCATTAATACTTGAAAAAGTTTTTCAGGATCCCTTTAATAGAATGCATGCAAGTTTTTTGATACACTAGTTGAAAGTTTTCTAGCGAAGTTTTTCGTTCATTTTGCTGAGCAACAGAACATCTGCACGTGCGCACATGCACACACACACGTACACATACACAAAAACACACACGTGCGCGCATGTGTGTGCCTTCCTAATCCCGGTCTAAAAATTGACCTTTTAGATCGGGAAAGGGCAGTTCTGCTTGGCTAGTGGATAACTGGTGGCGTCACTGTGCATGGATGTATACGTTGGCGTTTCCTGAAAATAACAATTGTTCAAGTTAGCGCACTGTGTTGTCCTCTCTCTGATGTTCCTGTCTCTTAATGCTCAATATGTCATCAAAATTATGAAATCAGTTACATTAGAGCAGAGTCACAGTGTATTAATTTATTAACATCCTATGTACATCTGTATATCGAGCGTAATAAACCAGTGAGGTTCCGCAGCAGTTACCTTCTGGACGCGAATCGAGTTGCTCACCAGTGGGCGCCTTGGCCCTACCTCCGTGAGTGCCATCGGTCACATCAAACGGAAACAGCCAAGGCGGCGAATACAATCTGGATGCGGCTCTTGTGCAGTGCCATCACCTAACTTATTCTGACACCGTGACTTGAACCTATGGTGGCCTCCACTATGGCGAGTTCGAGGCTACTACACTGGCGCCCAACACCGCATCAAAAAGGTAATTAGTTTGTGGATTCGACTTAGCTGAGTCACACACCTTTGTGAATCAGGCTCGTCGTGTTACCCCCGTTATGCCTGTGAGTTTTGCCTGCTATCAAGAACAGGGCCAGTGCCCCCTTCAAGCAGGAGATTCCAGCACTCTCACCTGTCCCAACCCCCAGTAGGGATAATGCGAGGCGCTACGTGCCAGCTCCCAGTAGAGGTGTAGCGTATTTTTCGAATGGTGCTTTACCTAAGTTCACAGGGGCAAATTGGACTACTACCCCTCCCTTTGGCTTTCAAGGCAGTTTCATGACACAGCTTTCCCAATCGACTTCCAGTAGAGCTTATGGAGTGCAGTTTGGCAGCTTAGAAACGTAGCTTCAACCATGGCGGAATTTCACCTGCTGGCTGCTATGCAACCTACCGTTTAGGGCGGAATACAGTTCAAGTTTTCCTCCAAAATATGTCACTAAAATGTCACCCCTTGAACTATATACTGGCCCTTGGCACAAACCAAATGATCGTCTGGCATGCTTCTTAGGCACCAGCATCGACATCGCCTCATGGGCAGACACACGACGCCATTCTTCTTTTCTTAGTGTTTCTAGCAAATGGCAACCTTTTTCTGTGGCCAGCTATGAATACCGGGAGCTGGCGCGAGTTCTCCACTGCATAAAGAAAATTTATACAATTCCTGGAAGCGAATGGCAACATGTTGGTGCAGTGGCAGTTTGGAGGGCCTCAGAAAAGCGTTAGGTACTGGTGCAAACAGAAATTTAAACTGTCAGTTTGTAACACGCAGAAGACATCGTATATGGCAGTCGCCGAGCTGTGCACCCGAAACTCAAGGACAAAGTGGCGGATTTCGTCCCCGACTACCATGCCAGGTCCCTGCCAGTGAGTGTGGAACTCATTCGCATAAAAGCCGTCGACCTCGCATGCGAAGGCGGTTTGTCGATAGAAAAATTTGAGGGGTCAATTTATTGGGTCGGCAGCTTCATGCAATGCAAAGGGATTGCCCTTTGACGAAGCACGCCAATCTGCCAGAAGCTGCCTGCGAAGCACGAAGAGAATTGGTAGAGTTTCAACACTACACGAATAGGCTCCGGTGGCAGCATGGGTACATAATAAGCTAGATCTGCAACGCCAACAAAATGCCGGTGTGGTTCAACATGCCATTGTGCACAACAGTCTGTGAATGCGAAGCAAAGGAGGTGTTGCTGCTGTCAACCAGAAGCGAGCATTTGCGCTTCATTGTGATGCTTTCCTGCACAACCGACGGCAGAAAGTTGCCTTCGTTCATCATCTTTAAGCAGAAGACCCTGCTGAAGGAGGCTTTCCCGCGAAATGTCATCGTCCGCGTGCATAAGAAGGGGGACATGGACGAGGCCCTACTGCGTGACTGAATCCGCACAGTGTGGTATTTGCGGCCTGGAGCCCTCTTGCAGCACTAGAACAAGCTCGTGTTTAATGCATTTTGAGGCCATTTAACTGCATTAGTAAAGGAGGCACTTCGCGACGGGAAGACCGATCTTGTCCTCATTCCAGGAGGGATGACGTCAATTCGGGAATCGCTCGATGTCGTCCTTAACAAGCCTTTTAAAAACTGTGTGCGCGTGTTTTAAAGTGAATAGATGGCTGACGATAATCCGCAAACCTCCACAGGCTAGCTGCGCAGACTACCTCTCACGCCAGTTTGCGCTTGGGTCTTTGAGGCAAGGAGGTCTCTGCCTGAAGAAATGGTGGTGCGCGCATTTAAGAAGTGCTGCATCAGCAATGCACTCTACGTCACCCTTGACAAAATGTTGTGGGAGGCGGCTAGTGAAAAGCAGTCATCCTCGGAGGAGAGTTCTGACAGTTCAAAGGAATGAACAAGGTGGATCAGTGAACAGTTCCGTATTCTTGTTTTTTTTTCTTGCTGGTCAAAGTAAAAGGGTCGACCTATATTCCACCTTAACCTATACTTCTCATTATACCGTGGTTATTAAGTTCACCTTGAGCAAGTGCCTGTACCATTAGCCACAAGTAGCTTAGTCATTTTATGTGAAGCTACCACAAACTGCACTCGTTATCGAGCTTCGAGACATTGCTAAACCGCAATTCTGATGTTCAAACCGCTTCATTTGAAGCGGCCGTACAGACGCTGCTGCATAATGTCACCCAAATAACCCAGGTGCTCACAAGGGCCGTCCAAATGCTTTTTCGCTATTCTGCAATGTCCCCTCCCACTGTCATATTGGCGGTTCCGACCTACAGTGATTTGCAAAGTGCAAGACTTGTTTTTTCATGCATGTGCGAACAGTGAACAGTATACTCACAGTAAGTGGAAAATCTGTTAACAGAACTGCTGCTTAAATGAAACGAAGGCTTCTGACAAGATTGGTTTTGTACTTGTATTCCGCACCCCTGTTGTTCTCTCAGTAAATGGAACTGCTGATAAATTGAACCTATTTCCTGATCCCACTTATTGAATGTCTACTGCCATTGAAATAGTGCTAGCGCCATTTCGATGTCATTCCCCCCCCCCCATGAGTACCTACAGAGCTTTAGCAAATAAATTTCATTTCAAGGTGCTATTAAGCTCACAAGTGTTGCGGGTCCCATAGTCCTCCTCTGGTGGACCGCATGGCCTACATTCGCTCAGTGCCTGCGATGGGCTGCTTGGCGGTCCAGCCTGCAAAGGAAAGGAGTCATGTATTATGTAAAATAAATGGCAAGACAATACACGGATATTCAAAAAAGTGTTATTGAGACTATTCCTGACAATTTTTTATTTACACATATGTCATAACTGTGACAAATGCAGGCAAGTTGCCTTCCTGGTTATCACAAAAGTAATATCAACAAGAAAACATGCCTGCCATAAAAGCAAGCGCTGTTCATCGCTATGCTTTCCACTCAGCCATTTTAAAAAATTCATTTATTGAGGATATAGGTAATTTCACGTTAACTGTCCCAACGGCTTACCAAAAACCAATTTCCATCAAATAGTTTCATATATTATTTGTGTCGCAACTGATACTAGCACGGAACAAAAAGAACGAGACAGGATAGGGCGCCCTATCCCGACGGGCTGGCACCCTATCCTGTCCCTTTCTTCTTTTTTTTTTTCCTTGCTAGTATCAGTTGCACCACAAATATCTTATTAAGCTATGCACCAACTTGCCCAACGTCACACTCTGCTAAATAGTTTTAGAAAATTACACACATACAGGAATTAGCGCTAAAGTATTTTATCAAGATATATTGAGTGACAAAAATTTTCGCGCCCGTGACCACCATTCGAAATTTATGAAATAGTAGAAAACCAGGTACGAAAAAGAATTCCCTATAACTTAAATGTATCGTGCATTCTTTTAATACTTCCTCTTTTGCATTTTGCGAGCAACATGCTTTCATATAAAACAGTTGCTCATGATAGCTTGAAAATTTTCGCACTTTAAAACCTAGACAAAACTGAGTAAATTGTAGTTTTCTGAGAATTTTTCTACAAGACGCAACCATCGATAGAATCCATAAATTACTTCTTGCAAACTCACCATAAAATGTACTACAGTAGAATCTTGATAATTCGAACTCGAAGGGGCCAGAAAATTTGCTCGAACTGAAAGAAGTTCGAACAATTGAAAGCTTATCAACGGAGGGCTCTCAATGCAGTAGCGCATGTGCGTTGAGCTAACACACGAGGGTCAAGTTTCAGAAGACTTCCATTTACTCACAAATCACAGAACATCTGTTATTATTTGAAGTAATTGGTGATGTGCGTCTGCACATGTTTGCCTTGCAGCGAGCTTGCAAACCATTTCTACTTCGGCTTCAGCATTCTCCTGGCAAGAGAAGTTGGACGCGAAAATGTCCAGCGCGGACACTTTCTAAAGATGACAACAACGACTGCATAGCGAAGCCTCTCCGCTACGCAGCCGCAGCATGGCCAGCACATGACGAGAAAGGAGGAACGTCTCCACGCGGAGAGAAGCTGATCGACATTTGAGAAAAAGCCAACACTCCACGGCAGCTTTTTTTTTTTTTTTTTTTTTTTGCTCCTTCGCGCGCGTCGTTGAAAGAAGGAGGGTTACGTGGCAGGGAAGAGAAAGGAGAAAACGTGGCACCGGCGCGTGAGCGACCCCCCCCCCTCAAGGCGCAGAGCCGTGCTCCCGCAAGGGGCAAAGGCGGCAGAAGATAGTGCCTTTTTCCTTTCCTTCAATCACACACTCATTCAACCCAGCAACAGCTTTCTTTTTTTTTCCCTCTCTCTCTTTGCGCGCGGCGTCAGAAGGAGAAGGGTCTTTACGTGGCAGGGACGGAAAAGGGAGAAGCGTGGCACAGGCACGTCGCCCATCGGCATTTGAGAGAGTGCAAACATTCCACCACAGCCTTTTCTTTCCTTTTAATTTCCTTCGCGCGCAGCGTTTAGGTGTCGAAGGTGCCGTCGTGGGATCGGGCGGGGGCTGAGAGCATTTTCGGAGCACGGTATGTTCGAATTAACCGTCGCAAGTGCTTGCGCGTTCGAATTACCGGGTGTTTTCGCCCATTGGAATACACATAGCTTTGACGGGACCTCATCATGAGTTCGAATTAACCGAAAGTTCGAATCAGACGTGTTCGAATTAATGAGATTTGACTGTATAAACAAATATATTTGTTTTACTGGTGTGTGGCGCATAGGCTCTAAAATGAAATCCTAAATTAGGCAAAAATGCTCTTTTGGTCCAAATAAAGACGCCTGTAGCACCCTAAGGTGTTCCAAGAAAGAATAGGGAAAAAAGTGCATATCACTTAGATTGATAGTGACTTTGTTCACAGAAAGTTTCACCACGATATGTAGTATGCAAAATAAAGTACTAATAAGAAGGACTTGACCATGTGTTGTAAATGCACTACCACTCTTTTTTACACAGCGAATTCAGTTGGTTTGTATTTGTTCTATAGCAATACATTGCAATAGTGGGACTAAACTCCAAAAATTTTTTTTCCACTGAAACAAAAATGATTTCAATTGAACTTTCTGTGAACAAAGTCACTATGAATCTAAATCATATGCACTTTTCTCCTGATTATTTCTTGGACCACCTTAGGTTGCTACAGACGTCTCAACTTAGACCAAAGTGGCGTTTTCGCCAAGTTTAGAATTTTCTATTAGAGCCTATGCACCACACACCGGCAAAACAAATATATTTGTAAATACAGTGCACTCCCATAAAACGAAACTCTCTTAAACAAAATTGCTGCTTAAATATAACAACTGCCTCTAATATGATTGGTTTCATACTTGAATATTTACCCCTGTTTATCTCTCAGTAAACGAAACTCTTCTTAAAGGAAATCCCTTTTCTTGGTCCCTTGAAGTTTCGATTAAAAGGAGCCTACTGTAGTACGTTTTGTGGAGAGTTTGATAGAAGTAACTTATGGATTCTATCGGAGGTTGTGCCTGGTAGAAATATTCTAAAAAGCACTACAATGCACTCAGTTTTGTCGACGCTCTAAAGTATGAAAATTTTAAAGCAATCGTGAGCATCAGTTTTATATGAAAGCATGTTGCTGTAAAAACGCAAAGAAGCCAGTATTGAAAAAATGCGCAAAATAGCCAATTTATAGGGAATTTTGTTTGCACTTGGTTTTCCACTATTTCGTTAATTTCAAATGGTAGTCACGGACGCAAAACATTTTACAGCGAAAGCTCTTATGAGATCACTTTTTCGGTCACGCGCAGTTGTCCCCCACTGCAATCGTCGCCGCCGCCACCGGTGTCCGTAACCACATCACGCGAAATTAGAAAAATAAACTTTGCACCAGTGGCACAGTGGGGCTTGAATCCGGGTCTGCTGAGTGCCAGCCCAATATTCTACCACTGAGTTACGGTGGTGCTTGTAACTTGTTGTCAAACTTGCCTTAGGCAGGCATGACCTAGCACCAATGGCACAGTGGGGCTCGAACCTGGGTCCGCTGGGTGCCAGCCCAATATTCTACCACTGAACTACACTGGTGCTTGTGACTTGTCGTCAAACTTCCCTTAGGCAGGCTTAATGTCGGGAAACCAATCGCCTTAATACGACTTATAAAGCGTTTTACAACAGCGAAAGAACAACCAGTCGTCGCTCAATGCGAATAGCATAACGAGTGGGCTGTCCAATGCTCCAACCCATCACAAAAGCTTCTTTTTGCTCACCTATTAACTGTGGCGCATACCCACTTCAGCTATCCACCATGACCATGGGTCGAAGCCATAGACAAACATTATTATGGTTACCTTTTTACTACCGGCTGGTGATAGCAAGCTCGTCCCTCCAGGGATCGAGTAATATTTCGCTGATCCTCTCTGCCTAGCATGGGTAATAATGAAAAGCAGAATTAAACTTCCGAGTAGAATATCTCGGAGCATCGACACGCTCGATCTGCCACAAGCTTTTCTATACAAACATACCTACTTATTGTAGGCACCGAAATTTCGTTATTCTTAGTTGATTGGGTAGCTAACAACATTATTGTCTTACTTTGTGTCAAACTGGACACAACTTATCTGCAAAGGGAGTTTTCTGTTCTTAGGACTGAATTTTAATGCAAGCACAAAGCACGTCTCTGAAAGTGCCAGTGCTGCTTCTTAAGATTTTATAACATGTTTATTTTTGTGAATTGTGCAATTTGTCACTTAAAATTGAACTTTTTGCATTGCAATAAGGCTGTACCAAATCAATTATTTTATTTTCACTGTAATATTGACTGAATGTTTTGTTTTATTATGTTTTTGTAACCTTAATTGATTATCTTCTCGAATTTAATGCCATAAGCGCAATCAAGTGATTTAATCACACCGAACTTTGCCAATACCTGACCAGGTGTGATTTACTACAATGATACCTAACCATATTTAACATTGTTCAAGATTAATGACAGATGAAATTCTGGAATATTGTAATCTTTTTTTACTTCACCTTGTCTTTTGTACGAGTATTTTGGGATGGAATTAGAATGCGGGATGTTGCCAAAACTACAATTTAATTGTTAAACACAGATTTGTGATGCAACCCATTAATTTTGACTACTCATGGTTCTAACATATTCAAATTCAAGTGCACTGGGTGAGAAAAAAAAACAATTGTTTGACTTCTGCTTTTTGGTTGTAACATTCTACCTTCATATAATTGCTACTCTGCCAATAATGTATTTGCAAAGCTGGCCTGCTAATTTTCATTGCCCTGATAGAAGTCTGCTCGAATAAAACAGTTTGTCTCTTTTGTATGTGTGCAGGTTCCTGGACCAAGTATCTGGCGAGCACCTTAATTGCTTTGTATTATCATCATTACTATTGTCACGTTTCTCCCGACAAACATAATATAATAGGCTCGTGAAGTCGAATAGCCAACCAGCAGCTTAGATAGATCGTCTTTGTCCTCTTTCACTCATGGGTCTCACCCAAGCAGACCATGTGGCAATAGTTCCCTCCCTTGGAAAGCATCGACTCAATGCTCGTAAAGAAAGAAAAAAAATGAAGGCATACACATGCAGATAGAGAGAACCAAAAGAGGGAGAGTGCCAGCACTCGTAGCGCAAATAAGGAAGTTTCGCCAGCGCTTGCACCAAGCACAAAAAGAAAAGGTATAAAAACACAGGAGAACACAAACAGCAGCAGCAACGCAATGTCACAGCTTGTCGTAACACGTGAAACCACAAGGGCTA